TTTTTTTTTTATTGCTTTCCATATGGTAGTTTGCAGGCCAGCGATTACGATATGCTCTAACTATTAATTTTCTTTGAATGACGTCATACGACATTTGACGTTTATGTTCCGTCATATTCTTGAGAAAAGTCGATTTAAAAATTTTTCAGTATCACACACTATCTGTATTAAATTTCTAACAAAATAAAATAAAAGGTAAGAAATTCGTCATAAAAATGTTCAGCTGAAACGCAGCGCAGAAGTATGAAATATTTCACAAAATAATATCATCTCACAAATAAATAATTCCTCAATGTCTTAAATTTCTCACGAAGTAATATTAATAATCCTGAACATGATGTAGATTATTGTGGCGATAATGTAATTTCTGGTTAATAGAGTTACCGCTTAATTTTTTAGTAGCTTGAATGGCAACGATATGTATTAGCGGTAGAAAACTTCAGAATATGTGCCTAGAATTTTCACATAACAATTTAGTCCTTAGTGGGCTACGGCCAAAGCAAAATTTATAAATTCTATGCACTGAAAATAAAATGAACTATTAATTTAATATGCTGTATACAAAGTTGTTAGCTCAAACAAAGCAAAATTTATGAGTTCTATGTACACTTGAAAAGAAAGCAACAACCAATTCGTAAATAATTTTTTGTTGCCAAACTAGGAAACAAAAACTTTGGACAATTCAGGTCATGACATATGCCTGTGACGTTATGATTTAAATTTAATTAATGTAACAATTTTTTGTCAATAATAAACGTGGCAGTAATATACCGTGTCAACTTTCTTCATATGAAACAAAAAAGTTGCCAACGGCAGCTATTTATTTTAAATGCTGACATTAAAGAAAAATTTTCGACATACAATGACGTCACATGAAATCGCGTGCTTTCTTCAACGAGAGAACATCACCTCATATAATAATAATGTATTTAATGTTTGGCAATGCTACTTTTATTTCATATTTTGTAAAACTTACGAATTTTTTATTAACAAACTCTACGATTTGAAAGCGAGCAGTGGCAACACTTTTCGAAAAAATAAAGTTTATTTCCAGCGCGCGAAACTGTTGCCACTCGGAAAAATGAGCGAAAAAATGTGCGTTTTCAGAGTTCTTAATTAATATCTCGGCTGATTAAAGTCGTACGAAGATTAAAATGGTCGAAGTGAATTCTCACGAATTTTTTTGGCATCCAAGAGTACCTCTCCCGCCGTTTTGGAGAAGATTTGCAAAGAATTTTTGTTTTTATTTTGCTTTTTATGTGCTTTAGAGCTTCATATAAAAAATGCATTCGCTTTTAATAGCTGATATCTTGATCGGAGAATGTTTGTGAAACGCTGGGAGATTACTAGATCTAATAATCTGAACGAAGAATGCTACCATTAATATTATCATGGGCAGCAACAGTGCATACGTTTCAAGGTAGCACTGTAAGATTATGCAGTAATATATCTAGAACGAAAACACTTCGCAGCAGGTCAAGCATATGTCGCCTTGAATAGTGTGAAATCATTAGATGGAATATTAATTGAAGAACTGGATTGCTCAAAACTCACTGGAAAGGTTGATTGCAATAATGAAGCATTACAAGAGATGGATAGAATGAGAAATTATAGACCACCATCAGTTTCATAAATTAGAAATGAAAAAATGTTAATGAAAAGTAACTAAAATAAAATATTTCTTTGATGACCTAAGTAGGAACTAAGCTAATTTTTTTTTTTTTTAAACATTACTTGTTCGACTCTGTTTATTTGACATGTCTTTTTGATACGTATTTTTAATGAACAATGAATGTTCTATAGTCAAATTCGAATACCATTTGTTGTTAAACTTGCGAGGGAACGTATGGCTATCTAGAGAGTATAATGTACTTCCAGTTATGCATTACATGCTTTTTGTTCTGTATACATATTGCTGGCTTTTATTTTCTGAACGGTTTTTGAAGTGTGCGATGGGAAACTGATAGGCCTGCTTTTACGGAAGCATTATTTTTAGCTTCAGATTGGAGGGGCTGGGGAATGGGGGAAGAGCAGACGAAAACATTCTCACCCGTGCAAAAATAAAATGGGGTAGGAGGGGGTGTATCATAAATACCCCCTAGTCCTTTTGAGTTTGAAAATACCCGTGTGCTAGAATGCTGCAACGCAAGGTCGCCCAGTGTTGTCTTCGGGCAGAGCAAGTTCTGGCTTCTTTCCCACGCCTCACGGGGCTAGAGGGCAAGCCGTGGGTAGCTTATTTCATCTTACTTGGAGAAGCTATAATGTGGCTAATAGACCTGCAACTGGCGTCCTTTTCTTCTAATTCGAATAGAAAGAAGTGTTGACAATAAAGAGATTTCTAAATATTGCTTAAGATTTTCCCCCTTCATGAATTAAATGCCGTGAAGTAATGCAATTCTGTTCCATGTATTGTTTGAAAAACTATTCAAATTCCTTGCTTTTATGTGTAGTATTAAAAAAAATATTATTTGTATTTAAAGAGTCTTCCCAATATTGCTTACTATTGGTGTAGTAGATGTTTCAAAAATCATCATCATAGTGTTAAATTCAATTCTGAATATAAATTTTTTGAATCAGAATTATATTGGTGTGAACAGTTCTAAATTTAGATCTCTTTACAAAAACACTTATTTTTATGCTTTACAAAAGATACGTTCTGTTCAGGTTGGCAATGATAAAATTATCTAATCAGGTTTGTTCCACACCACTTCTTGTATGGGATAATTAAATCATTCTTGCAATGAAAGTAGAAAATAAAATGTATACTATTTTTTATTTGCTAAAATGTTTGCTTATAAATGTTTAATTGCTTTTAGTATACATCTAAAACTTTTCTGGGAATAATTGTAAAAGCAAATAAATAAACAAACAAACAAAAATGTGTGAATATTTGGGCCAAAAGAAACTTTTTGATCTAGAAATTTGTTTCAAACAGCTATCTAAATTGCTTAGTTAAAAAATAAATAAGTAAAGAAAAACAAAATTAATAAAGGGATTTCAAATTTAGGTATTCAAAATTCTGTCCGAATGTAACATATTTCCTGTCCTAATTTCAGTCTGCACCTGCTGTACATCATTTTCAGACTTGCTATTCAACAACACATGTTTTAATTAGCTTCACAGATAATGGAAAGTTAAACACAGTATGCTGAAAGGTACCAGAGTTAGGGCAGGTTATGTTTTTAATGTTAATTTTGTCCGTGAAGTGCTACTTCAGTCACATTTAGTTTAGAAATTTTAAGCTTACTGAAGAATAATTAAAAACCTGAAAAAAATCAATTAAAGCATAATTTAAAAAAATCTGAAAGGTTTCAGATTTTAAATTACGTTCAAATTTGCGTTTTTTTAACATTTTGTGTGTTATCTTTATTTATTAAATATCATATTCTTCGCACACTTAAACCATAAAATTCAGTTCAAGAGCAATATCGCAAAATAATTTTAAATTGAGCATATCTTTAGAATTTCTGATACAGTCTCAGGCGCTGGAGATGGAAATGTTTTTTCTGTACAACGTTGCCGTTGCTCGCTTTGAAATCCTTGAGTTTGTTAGTCAAAAATTCGTTAAAGTTTTATAGAATATCAAATCGATAATAAAATAAATTCCAAATTTGGGCTTCCAGATGCCCATATTCGCAGTAGAATTACGTCATTCAAAATTCGATGGCTCTATGTATCGTTATTTTATCACATTGCGAGAAATATACATATATTTATGCAGATTTTTCATTATTTAATTTCTTCAAATATAATGCAGGACTCTTAACTTTTGTTGGCAACAGTTTGAAAAGTGAATCGGAAATTTATAGTGAACCATCCCAAAACGGAAACAATAGTCCTTCAGGAACAAAAGCCCCTTTGGACTAAAAAATAAATTAAAACCTAGTTTAAAGAAAAGAAAATCTGAAAGGTTTCAGATTTTGAATTACGTACAAAGGGGCGTTTTTTTAACATTTTGTGTGTTACCTTTATTTATTAAATATCACGTAACAGAATCGTAAACAGAATAGTAACTTTTAAGTTTTGCAGTAGTGAAACGCCGTGATTTCATGTAAACATAATAGTAAAAATGAGATGATAAAATACTAGATGAGTAAAACAAAGTCCAACAGCTTTGCAAGTAAAATCCTATCAGTTATATCCTATAGTAGAATGAACAATTCTTGTAAATAATTATTGAGTAAATAAATATATACACTTATCAGATCAAAGCACTGAAGTGAGTTTTAAACATAAACAGAATAACAAGTTTTTGTTTACAGTGGTGAACATCGATTATTATCTGCAAACAGAATAGTAAATGAAATTGATTAAATGCTAAAACAACGTTGTGGAATTCAACACACTAAACAACTTTCGTTCAAAATTTTAAATATTCCACATCATTCAATTGCCACATGCAAAGGGGGGGAACCTAAATAAAATTAAATGAAAACATTCATAAATGATAAACTTCACGTCATCTGAAATCCAACATTCTCCCATCAACAAGAGCTTAACTTTCTGCAAATATTTATATAAATAGAATATTAAACATTTATATAATAATAACATTACACAGTAAAACTTTTAAAAACAAACACAGTATTTTAAAATTAAATAAAAAAAAATCTGGCTACACTAAATTCGCACCCTTACAATTACCAAAATAAAGCTGTAGGTTTGCCACAATAAAATATACAGCCGGAAACCACAACCAAATCAAAATCGCGCCAAATAAAAACATTCTCGCCAAGTTTGGCGCTCACCCTCCCATTACGGAATATTAACCAATAAATGTATTAAAAATGAAGATTATTAGTTTTCATAGGGATGAATTGGTGTTTCTGTCATATGTTTTAAACTAAGTGATAGTGATTATTCTAAGTGCGTGTATAAAGGTATGAAGCAATATTTGCCATTGAAAATTTTGTGTACTTGAACTCTTTTTTTATAACTTTTGTATTTTTTTATAACTTGAGATTAATAGATTTTTGAAATTGTTATTATATTGCATCTATTTTTTTTTTTCAGGCTTCCACTTAAGTGGCATAGTAACTGCGCCTAAGAATTCTAGTAATAATACACACCCTAGTTATTCAGAAATTGAAAAAAGATGTCGAGTGTCTATTACATTTGACAGGTAACTATATTTTTATTATAGTGTTACATATAATTCTATTTCTTTTAAATTAGTTATATTTATTATTGAGTAATGCATGTACAGGACTTCTAAGCTTCTGTTACTGAAAAGTTTGACATTTTTGAGAATTTAAAGTAAGTCTATTTTTTTACAGTAATGTTGTTAATCAGAAAACAAACAAAAATGCTTTTAGCGAAATATATAACTTTAAAGTATTACTTTTTAAAAAGTTGCAGTTTAAGAGTTTTATTTTATATTCTTGTGTAATTAGTTTTCTGTTTATGAGAAATTATATCAATGTTAGCTAATACATATTTAATGCTCTTATACACTTGAAATGTGTTGAACTGTGTAATTTTCTTTATTCTTTAATTTTTTTTAATTATTAGTCAATCATATGACATGACTGGTGGTATAAAAAGTGAACTTTAATCAGTTTTTATGTCCCCCTATTTTAATGTAAGCAAACATTTCCTGTGATTTTGAAGATTTTATATTGTGTTTGTAACTAAATTTTCCTAATTTATTCATCCATTTTTTTTTTCATTTGGATGAAATTTTCTTTTTTTTTTTTAATTACTTAAATATTTTAAATTTATGTTTTATAAAAATTTTGTTCAGGAATGTGAAGACAGACTCCAGTTTAAATTCTTTTACATATTCACAAATGGGATTTGTTTACAGCTTTTTTTTTAATTGTTTTGAATTTTTATTTATATATTTAAATTTGTTGCTTTCTCACAGAACAAGAGTATTGCAAGGAAGGTAAATTTGTTTCATTCCATATTCAAAATCTGGTCTGTTCTCGTGTTGTATCTAAGTTTTAGCAGTAGGTGTATGAAATTTGTATTTAAAATTTTAGTTCGGTGTCACAGATTAGTTTATAAATTTAGTCTAAATTACTTATATTTAGGAACTCTTTTATTTTATCTCTTTTTAAAGCATGCATATTATTTTTTTATAAAGGTCTAAGCAAAATCTTGTTATTTTTCTCCTTCCTTCTGAAATGTATTTAATTTATTTATTTGTGTGTGTGGTTCCATGATGAGTTTTTATCCTTACAGTGATTTGCCGAGATGCATTCTCAACATAACATTTATGAAATTAAAAATCATACTCTGTTGTGTATTAGTGTTATCTTAATTTTATTACAGATATAAATTATCTTGTAAGATATGTAACACCACAGTTACTAAATCAGACCTTTTCTTCTTAACATCTGAAGTTATTATTTCTACTTTGCAAAAAGTAAAAATCCATGTTCTCTCATATAAGAAGTTGTTGCATATTAACGAAGATCCGTGGAATACAGAATAAAAAATTCTTTTATTTATATACTCTATATTATAAAAGTGTGGGTTTCAGGATGTAACAAAGTGAATCATTGGAAAAAATATCTGTGTGTCTTAATTTCCTAATAACTTTTTGCAACAAACTTATTAAATATTTATACAATTTGATGCATTGTAAAATATATATTGATGCTTTAATAATATCTATCTTGATTACAAAATTTCTAACTTTACTTCCTGTGCAATATTTGAGCAATATATAAATAGCTTCTATATAAAATTCTTCTGTAAAGTACCATATTTCTATTTTTTTATTTTTATTCAGATGGTAATATAACTTTAACTTTAAATTTGCTTTTTTACGTATTTACATGTTTGTTAAAATTTAAATTTCATTCTGTGCAGCAATGGCGCAAAGAATTAGTTAAATTTGTATTTAAATTCAATTTATTCTTTTGAAACAATTTTGTTTGTACTTAGCGCTAATTACCTGGTTTGTTTCTTTCTTTTTCCTTTTTTTTTTTTTTTAAAAAAATACAACTTTCAAATTCTAATAGTTTTGTTTTCTTTTAAATTAATTCTAATTTTAAACTCACTCTCTAAATAATTTAGTTTAATTAATTTAAATAGTTTAATACAATAGTTCAATTTTAATTAATTTTAGTGAATTAATTAGCAATAACATTTAAATTCCTAGTTTTTTAAATTAGTGAATTTATTTTCATGGTTTGGTTTTGCACTTGATTTACTTGTGCTATCTGAATTTAAATGATATTGTAGATTAGTTCGAAAATTAAATCTTTTATATGTTTGCAAAATTATTTTAACTTTAAATTTGCTTTTTTACATATTTACATGTTTGTTAAAATTTTTGTTATGTTTTGACACTTTTCAATTCATATTTATAAAAAAGAAAGATGGAAAAAGAAAAAAAAAGGGGGGGGGGGAAGAAATTTGAAGAAAAAAAAACTCTTTAAAAATTTAAATATTTTTAAGTAAGTTTTATTTTATTTAGTTGTCCGAGGGTCTCCCACCCCTCTGCCTTACCACCAAACCACACGAGAGAACTTTCGGCTTACTATATAAATTTACAAACATTCATACCTTCCTCTGGGATTCAAACCTGGGCCTTTTGGTACCGCTGTAGGCTCCTCTAACCACTATGCCATCTGGGTGGCAATAGATTCGTTTTGTAATCAATGTCTTTTAAAAATCTACCCATTTTTTTTTAAATGCAGTGGTAGAAGTTTATATCAGTTTTCACATAGAAAGCTGTAATCTAATAGCAGATTTTAACTCCAATGCATTTAATTTATATAAATTATACAAAAATATTGAAATTTATGTCTGAAGTATCTTAAGGTCAAATGTAAAACTGAAAAACAAAGGAGCTAGCTAAAATGCACCCCTACAAGAGGACCTTTCCGTAGATTCTTCTAGCATAAATTCTAAATATACAATTAAATATCATATTGTATGCATGTCATATATCTATTTACTAGAGAAATAAAAATACAGAGTTTTGAAAAAATTGTCATTTAAATTAAAAGCCAAGGCAGTATCTAAGTATAAATTGCATTTACTTTTAAAAGATAAGTGGTAGTAATGTCAGTGTAAACAAGCATTTTTGTTTACACTGATGTTACTACCACTGATACCCCAGATTAGTTTACTGAGCATACTAGAAATGAGAAGAATAGTAGGAAATCAAAATTTAAACTCAGTATAAATTAAATAGAATATAATCTGTACTCTAATTAAGAGTGTTTTGTGAAGTGTACATATAATTATCAATTTTATACCGATGTGAAATTTTATATTTATGACTAAATGATATTGAAAGAAACTAAAAGTAAAACCTGTCAAAAGTGTTACAGTCAAAAGTCGTTAATTCGGACACCCATAATCCGGAATGATCTATAATCCGGACCTCAAAGCTAAAATCTTTCTGCGCATGCGCCGCATTAACGCATGCGCATAGGCGTTTTACTCGTGCGCGCAAGACATTTACGACTGCGCATATGCGTCTGCGCAAGTGCAGAATACGTTTTCGCGTGCGCGTTTAATATATAACGGACGGTATCAGCTAAAATTATCTATTTCAGTTAATGTTGATGATTGCGTTGTTCCTTAATCTTCGAATTGGATAGGGCTTATTATTTTTTGCAGACTGTAAAAGCAATTTTCTAAAAGTAAGCTTGAACTTTCGATTATGTCAAATAGAATTTCCGATGCTGGAGCTCCCAAAGGATCTAGAAAACGAAAATATGTTTCGATGTCCATCAAAGAAAAAACGAATTGCTACAAAAAATGGATAAAGGCATATTCTTTGTTTATCTAACCGTTCCGAAATCTGTTTATCAATTTCACGCTGCTCTGATCGGGGGGGGGGACGTCGCGGCGCGCAATGAACTGGAAGTTGATTTATCAACACTATCGTTATCTTCAGGGCAGATGTTTTTATTTTATTCGGCTTATAATTCCTTACTAAATGTAGTATTTAATTTCGATGTACTCCGTCTTTGATATGATTTAAATCAAATTCCTCGTCATTATAAATATCACGAATACAAATCAAATAGTTTTCTGGTTGCAATTTTCTAATTTCGGCTATGCGTAAGGTATGCTTTACGCATCCGCGCGTTGAAAGAAATGAAAAAAGTTTAATAAAGTAAACAAATAAATATTAGGCTTCTTTTTTGGTAAATTTTGATACCCTTTAGATCATAATTGCTCATTATTTTATAAATTACGGTTTCATATTTTTAATTTTATAATTTCTGCATGCCATCTTACCAGATTTAAACTGATGATCTATAATCCGGAAAAATCGATAATCCGGAATCGCCGAAGTCCCGACGAGTCCGGATTAAAGACTTTTGACTGTATTTTATTGAATTTGCTCCTTGATGGAAACTGAATGCACTTTGTTAAAGAAAAGCAATGTAGGTACAACTTCAAATATTATTTCCATTTTATAATTGTTTTATTTCTCCTTAGGTGTAAAATAACATCAGTAACTTGTACATGTGAGACAAAAGATATTTTCTGGTGTCAACATGTTGTAGCATTAGCTCTTTATAGGATTCGAAATGCCGATAGTGTAAGACTTCGAGTACCTATTTCAGGTGAGTAATTTTCTGACTTTGTTTAATAGAAGTTTAATTTTTTCAATTGTTTTTGTTTCAATTGTATTCTGTTTAGGAAAGGGAGGGGGCAAAATTTAGTGTTGGAAACTGTTTCTCAAAATTTTTATTGCTATGTGGTTAACATTTATTTTTGAAACAAAGAATTCTTGTTAATCAGGGTACTGGTTTTATTTTGTAGAACATGTTACTTTCCATTCTTTTCTCACTCTTTTCTTTCTAACAAGTTCTGTTTTATATCAAAATAAAATATCTTAATTTAGAAGTGTGAAATGTGATATTCAGATTTTTATTTTATCAAAATAAAATATTTTAATATAGATGTGGAAAAAATATGCATTCTAATATATTTTATTTGTAAGTCTTGTTCTATTTAAGAATTATTGCATCTGGAGCTGTTTAATGATGTTTGACAAAATATTGGTTTGTTATTATTATCAATTGTATTGCATTTGTGTAGGTGTTCTTGTTTTCTGCTTCTGTCAGATTTCGAAGCTGCTTATATTTCTAATGTCTTGTATTGAATTTATAATTCTACTTCTAATCTTATTAAAAATTTATTGTTTAATATTAAAACTACCAACAATTAATGCACATTTTTTTCTACTACAGTGTATAGATCTTCAAACATTTTGGTACTTTTCCGTTTTGCCAGCGCAAACGATAAAGTCGCCAATAATGGTACAACTGATGCCAAACGGAATATTTTCACTGGTACCCTTTTACAGCTCATTTTCAAAACAAGTCGCAGACATTTCTTATCAGATTGATTGTTTCTTTCAATACTGGTATACAATTACATAGAATTTTTGTCTAGATAGTTAAATTTTATGCCCTAAGACCATTCGTGGTAATTATGTCAATTAGGATGCTATCACACCGCTCACCCGAAGGCGAAAATATAGAAAAGGCAAAATCAAGGATTAAATTCATCAGTTCTAATAAGAATGCACTAACGAAGTACAGCAATGCGGTTTTACATAGTTCTGATTAAGCTATTCGTACGAATTGAAATTATTCTTGCATTTAAACTTGTATTCCAAATTAAGATTTAATGTAGAGACTGAGAGAATTAGTTTTTTGTAGCGTAGTTTACATGAGATGAGATCACTTGGGGTCACGTGATACGAACCGGCGAATCAGACTGTTGAAGCATAAAAGCATAGTAAATTTTAAATTAATGTCTTTTCACAAATTTATTGTCTTTATTTACTGGCTTTATACAAAATTTTAAACCATATTAAAATGTTTATGCCTTCAAAATAAAAAATTCTTAGAACTAACATTTGTTAACATTTCTTATATGTATACTGTATGCTGTCGCCAACAAAGTCTGCTTGGCGAGATTTGCGCCGGCGAAACGGAAAAGTACCAACATTTTGACTGTTTAGTAAATTGTGATCTTAATGCCTGAAAAACTTGAGTTCTGTGTTAGAAGGTTTCTTCAATGTAAAAACAGACTTAATTCAGACTCATTTGTAAGCTATAAAATAAAGAGGGTACATTTTTAACTTTTAAACTATTTATTTATAATCATAGAGTATTATATATTACAGAGAACTCCAATACCAGCATAGTTCTATTTTATGTGTTTCCAAAAGTGTTGCTATTCAGAAGTTACTCAATACTAAATGTTGCCATTTACAAATTATTAAATATTAAATGTTACATAAGCAAGCTTGTTACATCAAAAGAAATTCCAGGTGCTAATTATAATAAAACGTGGGTAGGAGAATTCGATGAGTTTTTAATTAACATATCTGATTCATGTATATTATTGCCAGCATATTTTAAGAACAAATCAGTATTTTTTGCAGATTTTGCATAATCTATGTACATTAGCATTATTTTTAGTCTGGAAAAAGAGAGATTTATGTTCTTTGCTATGCATATGAAAATATCATCATTTAAAAACAATGAAAATCGATTTTTCTGAAAGTGTAACACATTCAATTGCATTTTTGTTCAAACAGGGATTTTGAAGACTTGTTAGTTTTGTCATGGAGGTATTTTTAGTACAATTCCTTCAAGCAAAAGTGTAAGAAAAGTGAATTTTTTCATAGACCTTTGGAGGAAACATGTCTTACATTTTAATTGTAGTTGCACATTACTTTTAGTATTACCCCCAATTTTTCTTTAATTTAATGAATGACTTTTTAATATATGTATAGTTAATATAAAATCTAAACTTACTTTTCATTTTATATTTCCTATTTAGAAACACTACTGCAGTTAGATCGGCAGCAGTTACAAAAATTGGTACAGTATCTCATAGCGGAGCACCACACAGAAGTTCTGCCAACTGCACAAAGGCTAGCAGATGACATCCTTCAAACTAAATCACTAATAAACAGAATTGCCGGTAGGTGCAAATCATTATTTTCAGTAATTGCCCCAACTAATTTTACTTCCTTACTCATAATTTAAGAATAGGTAAATATTTTATATAAAAAATAATAAATATAACGTGTATCTTTTTAATTAGTGAATTTTTTATTTTTAGCAAACCTTTTTTTTTTTAACTGTTTATATGTGTGAAATTTGTACAGCAAGCTATTTTAATTAAATAGGTTATTGTAATAGAATAACTTGAAATTTCAAGATTAAGTAATCAAAGTCAGTGGAATATTCTTGTTTTGAAAACATTTCATTCTTAACTTCATCTGCCTAAAACATGCGAAAATTTTCAAAACTTTAAGAGATATTTTTTATGAGTTTTTAAAAAATATCAATTGACCATTTGAGTCCCAGGGGTATTGAAAAAACACTGTCAAAGAATCCCAAACAATGCAACCCCGCTTTCTCTAAATGAATACGAAAAGACCCGAACAGCATAATAGCACTTGTTTTATTTTACATCGAGAAATACCAAGTGGCGCAACGTCACTTTGTTTATTTTACATTGATGAATCCCAATCGGAACAATAGCACTTCATGTATTTGTTAGGTAATGTGATTCTCTTCTTTTTCTCATCGCTTCGTCGTATTTATTGCAGTTTTTTCTCATTTTATCCTCAATTTTCGAAATATACTGTAATTTCTCGACACAAAATCTCAACAGCCCGATCGCACTGCTTGGAACTCAAATGGTTAATCAGTTTGAAAGGTCCTTTAAAGTTGGAATTTCTGAAATTAAAATATACATAAAAAGATTAAAATTCTAAAGCTCCCCTTGAAAAATTTGAAATAAATGTTAATTTGTTATGAGGAATTGTGTTCTTGACATGGATCATACTTTTTATTATCATTAGTAAATAATATGATGAGGGATTTAGTTTAACAGCAAACATGAAAGTTAATTTAGTGGATTGTTTTAAACAAATGTGTTCTTCATTTTTCTGTAGTTCTCTGTTGTAATTATGTGCAAGTTGTTTTTAAGTGTATAAATGTATATATCTCAAATCAAATGGCGCGGTTTCACAAAAATGCAAACATAGTGTACCATTTAATTATGTGCTACGTTAACCATATCACATTGCATTAATTAATTATTTTTTTATTTATGTTTAGGAGCTCCTGATCCAACAGCAGGAGCTCCGGCGGATGAAGAACATAGCTGGCATCTTGACGAAGAACAAGTTGGGGAACAAGTTCGTACATATCTGTCTCAGGGAAGCTACTATAGTGCTAACAAACAGCTCAACTGCCTTTTTTCCAAAGTAAGTAAATTATTTTTCAGTGCTCAAACATGACAGGAAATCTGTTAAGACAGTTAAAACCTAGTCTATAATAAAAAAATATACACATTAATTTTAATATTTCATTTAGCTTTTGGTATGTTTAATAATATTAAAAAAGTAATTCCTTTCTTTCGCTATCCTACTTTTGCCTCGAAATCACCATTTTAGCATATCATTTGTGATATCTTTAAAATTATCATGAGAATTAACTATAAAAATATTATTTTTTAAAGTTTTTATATCATTAAAAGATTAGAATGTTTTTTCATTTAAATAATCATTGGTTTTAGTTTGATTATGGCAAAGCATGTGAGAGCTTTCTGCCTAATTGGAGGGATGCCTTCATTGAGGACTTTCTATGGGATATTGGCTCGTATCCCAACTTATACAGGATTAAAACCACAAAATGCTCATACACCCAGCCCATTTGTTGGGATTTGAACTTGGATCAAAGTACCAGTATTCAGTAACTTTACCACTCGGCTAGCTGAAAATGTTTCATTATTGTTTCTTGGTGTTATTAAAACTTCAGATTATTAGCAGTAATAAATAGTTAACATGAGTGAATTAACAAAATGCATATGTTTTTGATTTTTTTAACCCTTAGCGCTCTGCACGTTTTTGTACCACTGCCTACCAGCAACTCCGGCACATTTTTGCAGGATCCGGTGTTTTTAAATGCAGCATCCAAAATATCTACATAAATCTCTTTCTTGTAAATATTTTACCAAAGAAAGAGATGTGACTATTCTCCTTAACTGACCAATAATCCTGCATAATTGTCAGGGGTATCGTACCCATATTAATAATAACTCCAATAAAAGTCCAAAACTTGCCCTCTTCCGCCGTATGCCACCTTTTCCAAATAGAATTACTAGATATTTCTTTATTCTTTCGAACATTTTCTGCATAATTGTTGGTTTCTTTTATAATTTCATTTACCAGTTTGTTTGTGAAAAATAATTTGAAATATTGTGTCGGCTGTACAATATTTGTAGGAATTTGTGGTCCAATGACCTTTGGTGATACACTAAAATGTATTCTATCTGGAATATCTAATTCTTCCGTGACATCGCACCGTTCATCTAAGTCTTCCGGTGACTCTTCGCTTTCACTTTCAATAACTACCATTCGTCATGTCTTTGGTAGTATAATTTCGGAACCACTACTTGAAGTGTCAGAATTATAACCAACATTGTCTTCCACAATATCTTCTAACAATGAAAAATCAAATACATCTTCACTATCACTCAACTCTATATTCTCATCACAATAATTATTTTTCTCCATGTTGCTAACCATAAAATTGATCAAATAATGTTTCAATCCTAACAGAGCACATTTTAACTACAGATAACAATTACCAATACTGACGATTCCATAACATCTTAAGCCTATCATGCTAAAAACATTGGGCTCTGCAGCGGAGGCTACGGAATTATGGAACAAATGACGGACAGCTCCGTAGCGAAGCCAACAGAGTGCTAAGGGTTAAAGAATTTTAAAAATCTTTAAATTTAATAATTATGTTCGATTTAAATTAGATAATCTTTTTGTAGTTAAAAGTGTACTTGCAACTATTATTCACAATTACTATTATTCACAACTATACAAGCAACTATTATTCACAATTTGCAATAAATTTAACCATTTTAAATAATTTTAATTCTGTTTAGATATAATTGCTAAGATGGCATCTTTTAATTTCTGCCAATGTCATTTCTTGTAAACTTGTATTTAGTGATTTATGACTTGCATCTGGCTAACACACAGGTATTAAGTTGCTGCATAGAATAAACGCCTGGAGAGATTATAAAAACAAACCTAATTGCAAAATAAATGCCTTTTTTTGAGAGAATTATCAGTTTTTTGCGATTACTAATGTACTCCAAGGACAATAAAAAAGTTGATTTTTTTAACTTAGGAACTGACTTTCAGTTTCAATTAGATTCTTAATTATAAGTTCTTTGTGCATGGAATTTCCTTTGTATGAGTCATAGGCATATTTGCTAACTTAAAGCAAATATATATACACATATGTTATATGATCTAAGAAGTCTTGGTTATAATTTTTATTTTAGGTTAAGGAAATGTTGAGAGCAAAAGATTCCAATGGTGGGAGAATGTTGCGCTTAATAACAGAACAGTTCCTAGCAGATCCACGACTGGTCATCTGGCATTCTCAGGGCACACCCATGACTGACAAATGTCGGCAGTTATGGGATCAATTAGGTAAGTCAAACTAAAGCAGCAAAGCTTATTTAATTGATATATTGTAGCGCTTATAAAAGTTTAGGTGTTGCCTTTGTTATTTTATCCTTAAGTAAATACAGTGAACTCATAATAAACTGAACTCCTTAGGTCTTGCAAAACTGTTTGAATTGTCACAAATATTTCCATATTCATTTCATGTTAGTTAAGATTTTGGGGCTTTCAATTTTTTCTTTCAATTTATCTAATTTTGAATTGGCGATAATTAATTAGTTATTGTGGAAGCTTAGAAAAAATAAACAATTACATAGCTATTTTTCTAAGCTTCCTATTGTACTTGCAGATTTATTATGCTATGTTTGCTTAGTAAATCATTATATCATATTTATTACATTTTCTCTGTTTTAAAATTTAAATGTAAAAAAAAGTATTTTATTTAGATATATTTTAGGAATTTTGTTACTGCATTGCAATTTGATTCCCATGATCCCCATTTGGGGATTTGTCTTAATAATGGAAATTTGGTAACTTTAATTAGGTTGCCAACAATGGTTACTTTTTTAAATTGCTTTTTAAACCTTTTTTAAGTTTTTGCATGAGTTGTTGAGTAGTAGTTGTTAAATGTATGAGCTGGAGAATATTATTTGAGAGAAGTAAAATTTTGTGACTTTCAAGATTTCAATATTTTCAAAACACAGTATATTATGTTAGTATGTAGTACATCATTTCCAACTCCTGTGTACTGCCATGTTCTCTAGTGGTTTGAGAATATATTTACTAACATTATTGTCAATGTGAATTTTATTTTCCGGTGAGGGTTACTTGAATGTCAATTCCCATTTGAGGCTCATGGCATGTTCCATCTATATTATATTTATATTCCAGTTTCCCATCTCTTTGTCCATCTAGACACCCAGAAATAAATGTAAATTGAGGGGGGAAATATGACAGTTAATGGGTTAATATTATCAAAGTTAAAATACATGTCATTGATTTTTTTTTAAAAGAATTGCTGAGATGAAGCTTTTTAACTATCTTAACAGTATTCTGTATTTGCTAGTGAAAATTTATTAACTATATTTATATAGTTACTTGCTTTAAACTTTGTTTTCATAACCTTCTTTCCTTAAGATGATATCCAAGTAATTAAACAAATTGAAAATGCAATTTCAAAAAATTAAGTAATGTATACTGATTGAAATTGAATTTTATGACTGTATAAAAGTGGAAACTCAGAGGGTGAAAATTAAATACTTAATAAATAAATTGATAAAGGGTTTTTTTGAATTAATGCTTTAGGAAAAATGATGATTTTTACTTCCTTCTATAAAGTAAAGGAAGTATTGTAAACCCCGAAAAATTCGGGTACCATATTTCAGCGGAAATAGCCATTTTGACTGTTCTCGAATTCATTTGAATGATTTTTTTTTTTTGTGTGTAATACAGACAGAATAAATAACTCTTTTTTCCAAAACGGTTTCTAAAATGGATTCAGAAGAGATTTTTTGCATGGTGTCTGTATGTATATATGTATGTACCTTGCATAACTCAAAAATGCTGTAGAACATTCTAATTTTGTTTATGGAATTGTTATAACATTTAGTTGTACACCTCCCTTTTTGTTGCAGTTGGCCGCAACAGACGTATGTACAGTACAGGATTTACATATAAGCTACACAAGCCCTTTCCGCAAACTCATATTTGGCACTGACATATAATATCTGGACTTAAAGGGCCCCATATCTCAAATAGCTTAGAACCTTATCAAGTCTAAATCCAGTCCTGTGTATATACATCCTGCATAGGGTGCTCAGTTCTTTATTCTCAGTTGCTGTTATTTGGCTCAGTGAGCTCAATTTTTTATTCTTATACGTTGGTCAATTGTGCATTTTTGCTTTTAAAAGTGTTTGAATTATATCGTTCTTATGTTCTGGCTAAGGATTTTATGTCTTTAGTTAATCTGCACGTAGTAGTTATAGAATTATCAACCGTTTAAAAGTGACACTAAGCCTAATAAAGCCGCCATTTGTTTGCATTTGAAATTCTTGGTAGAATAGTGAATTACGTCTGTAGGTGCACCAATTTCAGTGTCTTTTCTTAAGTGGGACGAAAGTTAACATCCAATTAATTTTGTGCACCAAAAAATCTGTCTTCCTGCCCACCGGCTGAATTGCTTGTTTTAGCATAGAAACTCTTAATTTTAATTAATTATTTCTTTAAACTGTATTTAGTATTTTAGGTTTTTCCGTATTTTACAATGTCCACATCAGATGTATTCTGTTCTTTTACTTTTATTGTATTCTTTTACATCATACTGGACAAGAGAGGATGTAAGTGCATTTCAAAACTGCAATTAGCTATAAATCATGGTGTTTAATCAATTTTTTATCAGCCAACTTTGAAATGCTAATTTGAGATAATTGTAAAAATATTTTAATGGTTTAAAAATACATAATTATATGTTTTTTGAATTCTTATTCATTTCATATTTTATTGTCAAGGTGCATTATGGGTGTGTATAGTCCTCAATCCCCACTGCACTGCTTCCGAACGTGCACATTGGAAAAGCTATTTAGAAAAATGGGCTGCTATGCATGTTTGCCCTTTAGAGGATGCAGACTTCAGGCCAATGAGGGGAACTAACAACAACCGGAGGCCTTTGGTGGATGACAGTTCATCTGATTCATCTGATGATGAAAATGGTATAGTAATATGCTAATTATAATACACCATTTGTTATTGATCATTTTTATTGGTTGATTTTTTTCCGAGTAATTTATCTGCAATTATGAACTCAATGTATAGTGTTGTTAACCTTTAATCTTTAAAGCCCAAGAAAAAGTTTTGGTTGAAGATTATCCTTATAAATTATGAAAGGATATAATGCATCAAAACTCATTTATTGTTCAGAAAAATATAAAAAATGTAAATAAAAAAATTTATTTACTTCATTTCTTCTACTGTTTAATTTGTTTGGCAATTCTCCACCATCTAGTTCTTACTATGTAATGACAATTATAGTTTGAGATATTTATTATTAATGTCATACAATTATCAGGAATATGAACCTGGTTGAACAATGAAATCTTTAAAACAGGTTATATATATATTTTTTCTTTGCAGATCATCCTAGAGACAGACCACTTACTGCATCAGGGCATCATCGACCTGTTACAGCACCTCAGTTAAGAACAATCTTCCATCGAGCGCTAGAAGCCTGCCACTTGAGCTGGGATGATCCTCATCTTAAATTCATTCTAAATAATGATAGCCTTAATTCTAACAATGAAACTCCTCTTTTAGGGGCCTTCAATTCTCAGGGATACCCCCTGTGGCCAGGTGAGTTAAATTCTGTAGCACGTATTAATTTATGTTTTTATTACTAATACATAATATTAGGAATCAGTGAGTCATATATTAACCAAACTTAAAAAAAAAAAAAAAAAAAAAAAAAAAAAAAAAAAAAAAAGCATATTATGAGAAACAATTAAAATAATGCTAAATATTTTCATCTTGAATGTTTGCTAATTTAAGTAATTTTCTGTATTAATTAAATAAAAATTCTTTTTAAACATGACCGGGAAAACTAAAGAAAATAAACTGTTTTATTTTGATAAGAAGCCTTTTTTTTTTTTGTTGTGTGTGTGTGTGATAAAAGTAGTAACATTTATTTCCTAGAAAATTCTTAATTAATAAAAAAAGAAAGAAAAGAAAAACATTTTTAATTTTATGGTTCTTAAAATTACCTAAGTTTTAAGATATGCTAAACTTACGTTTTTAAAATAAAAAAAAATATATAAAACATGTTTTCTTTCTCAGAACATATCCCAACAGCATGTGCTCGAGTAGAAGCATTAAGGTCACATGGTTATCAGCCAGAGGCTCTTAGGCTAGCTGTCGCCATCGTAAGAACTATGAAACGTCAACAAAGAGAGTGGCAATGTCGGTGGCAAGCTGAACAAGATAGAGGGGGTAAGTCTATGGATCAGTGTTTCTGTGTACACCACTCTTTTTAATGTGCTGATGAATTTGGATACCATTTTATATGCAAATTAATATGATCTGTATTAATTAAATTTTATACTTTTTAAGAAAAATTCTTAATTTTTAGAATATTAATATCCTTAAAATATTCCTATGTGTAATAATGAGTAATAGCTTGGTCAACCATTATATGCTAAGAAGTATTTTAATCATGACAGAAATACTGGCCGTTGAGTAAAAATCAGGAATTCATAGCAATATTCATCAATTCTGAATGAAAAGTGAAAATTGGCTCATCTGAAATTGATTTTCTTATTTAAAACTTTTTATGCATGGTTTGGAGAGTTGTAAGGTGTATAAAATTCACTTCACCAAGAGAGGCTGAATTCATTTACTTTTAGCATGCATAAATCAAGTTTTAATTAACTGAATCTTTCTTTTCTTTGGATCGATTCATTTCCACTCTGTGCCATGAATTTTGTTTCGTCAGCTAGTCAATTTGTAAGCATATGCACTCCTTAATTGAGGAAAATAACTGACCACCTTGATAAAAGAAGTTTAAATCCTCAAGTCCTTGCAAGCATATAACAAATTTAAATGTAGACTTAAATTCTTATTTCTTTCTAAAATCTATTATTTTAAAAAGAGGAATATGCAAAGTTAACTTATGTAGCTTCTAGAATGGCTATGTTGTTAGTTAATACGTGCAACAGAAAAATACTAATTTCTTACTGTGAGTATTATTTTATACCATTCTCAGTCATAACTATAATTCTAATACCACAAATTTTAGTTATATACAGTCAAAAGTCGTTAATTCGGACACCCATAATCCGGACCTCAAAGATACAAACTTTTTGCGCATGCGCCGCGTTGACGCGTAATACCTTTACGGCTGCGAATATGCATGTGCGAATGCGCATAATACGTTTACGCATGCGCGTTTAATGTATAACGGATGGTGTAAGCTAAGCTAAAATTATCTAATTCAATTAATGTTGCAGATTGCGTTGTTCCTTAATCTTCGAATTGGATCCGGCTTATTAATTTTTTGCAGACTGTTAGAGCAATTTTATAAAAGTAAGCTTGAACTTTCGATTATGTCAAATAGAATTTTCAATATATATTTACTAATACGTAAAGGATCTACAAAGCGAAAGTATGTTTCGAAGTCCATTAAACAGAAAGTGGAATTGCTGCAAAAAATGGATAAAGGCATATCCTTTGATTATCTAATCATTCCGAAATATGTTTATGAATTTCACGCTGCTCTACAGGGGGAGGGAAACGACGCGGCGCGCAATGAATTGGAAGTTGATCTGTCAGCACTATCCTTATCTTCAGGGCAGATGTTTTTATTTTATTTGGCTTATAATTCCTTACTAAATGTAGTACTTCATCTCGATGTACTCCGTCTTTGATATGATTTAAATCAAGTTCCTCGTCATTATAATTCGCTTCCGATAGTGAAGAAAGTGACAGAGAGGTTATTGAAAACGAAAAAATTTCGATTGACAAATTAGTCGGTATTCTCGGCACAGCAATTAACGGGAGTTGAACAGCGGAACTTTGTAACTGAACAAGAAATTATGTCTGTTTATAGAATTAAAGAGAAAGTATTATCACATAAAACGAAGCAACTTAAACAATTTACATTGAAAGAAATGTTTAATAAAGTAAACAAATAAATATTAAGCTTTTTTTTTTTGTAAATTTTGATACCCTTTAGATCATATTTGTTCTTTATTTCATAAATTACGGTTTCATATTTTTAATTTTATAATTTCTGCATGCCATCTTACCAGATTTAAACTGATGATCTATAATCCGGAAAAATCGATATTCCGGAATCACCAAAGTCCCGACGAGCCTGGATTAACGACTTTTGACTGTAATTATAATATATATATTTATAATAATTAATTATATAATTTATAATAAGTTATATAATTTTATAATAATTTATATGATTGATTTATTTAGATAAAAATAATTGTTAAAAATTGCATGATCTTTCAGGTTCTATTGAATATTGGGAAAAAATATTTATTCATGATTTCATTGTATACTAATGTATAATTATTTTTTCATGTAAACTTTCATGTTTAAAAAGTGTATAATTACTTTTAAATGCCACTACATGCCATTATATTAATATTTAATTTATTCATTACTATAATGCATTTAATTATTGATAAGAATGAAAAACTAGAAGAAATTTCAATGTTTTTTCATTGCATTCTATTGAATTATTTTAGTTGCTCCTTGTTCAAGTTCAGGTATAACTAGCAATCCATTACATTACAACTCTGAGGGTTGGATAGGGCATCCCCTAGATCCAGTAGGTGCTCTTTTTGACACATTAGCTGAATCTTCTTTGGTTCCTGAAACTAAATCTTTTGATCAGTACTATGGTAAGAACTTCATTTTCCCTCACCTTCTTTTCATTTATTTTTCAAGTGATGCAATTTTGAATTATGCATCTCGTTATTTCTACTGCTTTTTTAAAAAAAAATGTTTGATAAATTTATTTCTAGATGTAACTATATCAAATTCATCAAATGACGAAGGTAATCTGACTCCACGTGAAAGACCTAGGTATCATCATGTGTCTGTACCTGGAAGTAGAGACCGAAGTGAAACATATTTATCGCTAGCTGTGGAAGCAGCTCTCATTGGGTTAGGTCAGCAACGAGTGATGCCTCTTGGGTTGTATGCACAGGAAAAAGCTTGCAAGCATGAAGATCGCCTCATTACAAAATTGCACGATATTGAATTGGATGGAACGCTAGTTGCTGTGCTTCGAAAACAAGCCATGCTCTTACTTGAAGGTACAAATATAAACCATTTCTGTTGATTTATTTAATCACTTGAATAATTTCATTAGGACAATGTTGTGTAACTAGAAATGTTAGAAATACTGAATGAGAAGTAAGATTCAGAATAACTAAAATATTCAGTACTTACTCAAATTGTTACGAAATTTCCAGGCGCGGTAAATGGCAAGGCAAGGTGGGGTTGCCACAATTGGCGTGGAATCACCCATTTGGCAACATTTGGTGACAAAATTGGTGATATGCCATAGACGGAAAGAGAACCTTCTGGAACAAATTCATACTGGTTTAGTCCAGAATGTTCTCAAACACAAGCCAAAATATAAACCCTGCTGGTACATGGAGAGTCAGTCAGTTAGTTAGTTAGACTGTGCGGAGTCCATCAAGTTGATAGTCGGTCGATGAGTCCCGAGTTGGTCATCGAGTGCATCGAAAGAGTCTGTTAGTGTATCACAGTTAGTGCATCGTCGAGAGAGTGTGTTGAGCTGCAGGAACGATGGAACCGAGGAGTCAGGAGCTGTACTTAGTGTATCATCGAGTGCATCGCGAATTGTAGCGTAAGAGTAAGTGAAGTTCCGGGAACGACCGAGCAGAGTCGGGAGCGTACTGTGGTGCTATGCAGTAAAGCTGTCTTCACTGTTATAGCCTGATTGCCTGAAGACTGTGTCGCTGATTGTTACATCATGTGTATAGTAGTTCTTCGATGAATGTAAAAACATGTTTTGGAGCTGTCCTGAGAATACTGGCCAATAAAGTGTGTTTTGCACTTTATTGGCCAAAAAAGCACTTGATGGAATATAGATTCCATTAAGTGCTGTCATCGTTATTCACTCCAAATCTGCACGAATCCTGTATGTACGAACGTAAAGGAAGAAGAAAAAAAAACGCAACATCTTTATCTGAGTACTGCATATATAATTGCACACACTGAAAACTTTGTTTTCATTTCTTACCATTCTTGTTGGAAATATCTCACAATGAGTAGACCTTTCTTAAAGAACAAAACTTTTGACAACATTCTATTATGTTGAAATCTTTTTGGATTTAAGAATAGTTTATACTCTGTAATGTTCTGCAATAAGTATGAATGATTTAATTATTTTGCCATTTATATGTAATTTAAAAACTTAAATATACTCTTGATACTGAAGTATCTTATTATTCTATGGAAAAACCTGTTTTGTCATACTTTTTACTACTGAGCATAAAAAAAAAACTAATTAGGAGGAAATATTTTGATTTCTGTTCAATGAAATATAAATCACATGGGTTGAAATTAAATTGTATGAATAGTAACATGTGAAGTTATTGGTGAAAGGTAATATATCTACATTCTGATTTTAGCAGATTAAACTGATTATTATGTTAATTATGTCAAAACATGCAGTGAATATCATCATGGGCATTTTCTAAGGTAAAGTTTATATATGCAATGCAGATGAGAAAATCCATGAAAACACTTGTTTACACAACTTCATTGTTCATTCACACAACTTCCAGTGTTGTGTTATTTAGTTAGCTCACTGGTAGCCCATTGGCTGTACTGGTAATTTGTTACGAGTTTTATCCTTGGCAGCTGAATGGGATGCAACTTGAGATTTTTTATGTGCTTTTACTTATGCCCAGGCCTGTTTTCCTTCTAAAGTCATTGAAGAAGACACCCTTTCCTACAGGCAAAATGACCTTCATTTGCTTTGTTATTTGGCTGCTAGTTGCGATTGAAGATGAAAGATCAATTTTTTTTTGCACTTAATTTTAAATGTAGCATGCTGGCTGAAAGAAAATTTGACAGTATGTATAATTTATGTAACTTTTCTGAAATATGCCGAAGGAACTTTATATAAAATTAAGAAATGTAAAAACTATATAATGTTTCTGAAAAATTTTAATTGTATTAATTACAATTTTTCACCAATAATATATGAAATTAGGGTAAAAGGATTAGAAAAATAAATTCATGTGAAGAGATTATTTTCATGTAAAGCAATATATTTAATTAGTTTATTATTCCACCCTCCTTTAAAATATCACAATTGATACTTGAAATATCTTCCTGGTCTTGATGTCTATAACAAGGGCAGATATAATATTTACTCGCAGATTTCTACAGGCACATATTTTGATTAGTTATCTAAAACATAATAACATTTAACTATTTTCCATTATCACCACCATCATAGTGTCTCTTCACTAAATTACAGGTATTATATCTGATTATTTTACTTGACATCGACTTTCATGTTTTTAGGCTCCCAGATTTTTTTTTTCTTGCTTCTATGTTTGCTCAGTTGTATTTCCCCCCCTCTCTCTCTCTCTCTTTTTTTTTTTTTTACTAGTCAGTGAATAAACTCAAATCCACTTCAGTTTTTTTTCCTCCTCATATAGTAAGTAAATGGCACATGCAAAATAATATTTTTGAATATGGAATATTTGTGCAATCTGAGAAAAATTCCTGTATTCCAGTGTTAAAATATTTTTCATTTAAGATTTTCTTTTTAAAATATATTAAATATTTTATCTTTTCCTTAGTATGTGATTGTGTTCAAATTTGAATTCAACCCTTTTGACTTTTTCATGTTTAAAATTAAAGTTTGAAAAGTAGTTTAATTTAATGTTTACGTGCTAAAAGAATGTGTAATATGAGTTTAAAGTTTTTAACTTTTCCCATTTCCTGGAAATCTCCTGGGACAATATGTCCCAATCATATTGTCAACTGGGACTATTTGTCTCCAGTGCATGGGACTGTCTATCAGAAATTTTAAAGATATGCTGTTTTTAAATATTTTATTTTTGTTGATATGAATTTTATATGGTTTGAGTGTGAAGAACACGATATTTAATAAATAAAAGTAACACACAAAATTTTAAAGAAATGCCTCTTTTGGCATAATATAAAATCTGAAAGCTTCAGATTTAGAAATATTTTTTTGAATTAATGTTAAAATGTATTTGGATAAACTCAAAGCTGATCAAGTACTAAAATATTATTGTTAAGAATTTTCCCACTTAAAAATTTCAAAATTAAAAAAAAGTAAATAATTACCAAATTTTTAAATGCTACCTGACTGACTGCAATAATTGTCAAATTTTAATTTAATTCATTTATGCATTGAATATTATGTTCCAGGAATTCCCTAAGAAGTATGTTTTATGTTGAATTAATATATTTTTTCTTCAGATTTATATATAAAAGCCCCATGTATAACCTAACCTTTGCTGATCGTGCACTAATAGCAGTTTTAAGCATTTATACGCTAAGTATTATAGTATTTGATATCTATATTATGCATCTGTATTATTTTATAATGCTTGGTAAATGATTTATCATTAATAAACTTTGTGCCTAATTTTAGGTGGTCCATTCAGTGGTTTAGGCTGTGGCATTCATCCAGAAAGTGTTCCAATGCATACATTTGCAAAGTATTTGTTTACTGCCATGCTTCCATACGATTCAGACTTAGCATACAGTGTGGGTCTTCGTGCAATGAGGTAATTTTTTTTCTATAATTTTGCATTAAATTATGCAAAACTAGAGCAATCAGAAGTTATAAATGTTTTCATAATTTTTTGTATGTTATAATTTTTTCTAATGCAAAATCAAGATCCAAGTAGGAAGCGTAAAATTTGCAATTCTCATACAGGATTTGGTTCCCTTCAGGGAAGATAAGCACACTTCAATATTATATTGTCTTTGTTCTTCAGTTATTTAATGTTGCATTATTTTTTTTACTAATGATTAATCCTTTTCACCATGATTAATGAATTGAGTGGAATTAATATGTAAATAGGACAGTGTAATTACACTTTGAACATGTACTATGTGACTAGACGTCTTTAAAATTATCTTTTTTTCATGATTCAATTATTAGACAAATTTTCTATGAGCAAAGAAATATTTATGACAATTATGTGCCTTTACTGAGTGATGGATTTAATGATTTTATCTGATGATCATGATGCACTGGTATTTGTTTTTGGCAGTATTATTGAAAGTATTTGGTTCATCTAACCTTGCTCTATATTTTCTGCTGAAATTATTGCTATTCGGCAAGCACTTTTATTTATTTCAAAGCAAGAAGGAGAAAATGTATCCTTTGCTCTTTATCCTCCGACTGCCTGAATATACGTAGACTATTGGAATCTGGAGGTCATTTCGGAAATCCTGTGTTGACCGAGACCATTAATCTCTGTTTAGATGTTCAGATCCCATTCTTTTTTTATTTCATTTGCATTACTAAGTTTTAGTCATTTAAAGGGAAAAAAAATCAAAATTTTCTTTACCTTTCAGGTTGCCCATTTTAGAAGAACATGAAGATTCAGAAGAAATGGTTATAAACCCTTCTTTAAATCCTTCTGTTCTTAGTCGTTATCCCAGGTGGTTTACATTAGGGCATATAGAAGTTCAACAGTGTGCTCTAGCTTCAACAATGCTTTCTGCTGCTAAAAGTTTGTATATTTAAATTATTTAATTTTATTTGAAATAGTCCTCATTATCTTTTGAGTTCAATATTATGTCTGAAATTTTTTAATTAGTTTCCTAATCTTAATTGTAATAATAAATTGTATTTTGAAATTCAAGAATGTTATTTTATCAACTCTTTTACTACTAGATAAATTTTATCAATTTATTATTATTTATTAAAATGTTAGATATTTGTACGTAGATTGCAAAACATGCTTTTATGCGCACGAATAGAAAATTATTGCTTCAAAGCATTTAATCTGTGACCCCCTCTGTAAAAAAGCAGTTCAAAATTTATGGTGTTAGATTATATTTCCAACAAGAAAGGGGCTTGAATTCCATTTACTAAAATTGCTCAACTTCTCTAAATTTGCAAAAGTATTTCCTGACCTGCATTTGAATAGTTAAAAAACCACAAAGCAATAATAAAATCATTGCAAATGCTGCTCTGAATTTAGATAGCTGGATGAGTGTCTTTATGCCTTTATTTGTATTTGACATAAATCCAGTCTGTTTTCTATAGAAAGTCCATTGTAAATGCCTTTTTCTGTTGAAAAATAAACCATATTTGATTTACCAGAATAAAATAAACAAACTAAACTCCTATAGTTTCTCAGTCTCCTATAGTCATTTGCCAATTAGCAGTTAAAACTGTGGTATGCATCCTGTATTTAACTTCCAGTGGCAGAATGGACTACTAACAGATGTCTTTCGAGTTTCTCTTCTTGGGCTAATATAAATATAAACTATTTTCTGTTATAAAAGTCTTCGCTAAAGAAAGTTGTAGACATCTCGCCATAATTGACCTAATCTAACTTTTTGGGTTAATGATATTTAGTTGTCATAATTCTCAATTCACATACTCAAAATCGTATGTTTAGATATTTATTAATAAATTCATTCTGGTAGAGGCCCACGAGGGACCAAGCGGTAAAATTGCTGAACACTGGTAGTTTCAACTTGAGTTCAGTGGGTTCAGTTCCAGGTGGACAAACTGGGCTGCATGGGCATTTTTATGGTTTTCCCCATATGTAACCTGTATACAAGCCAGTTTCCATTAAAAATTCTTTCACGAAGGCATCCCTGCTCTTAGATTACCCTAGTGTGCTTTGCCACAATCAACTAAACCAAACCATTCCGTTAGATTTTGACATTGTCATCCTGTCATCCCATGAACAAGAAACCAGGATTCATTTAATTTCTATGTCCATAAACAACCAAGATTCATTTATTAAAAAAAAAAGAAAGAATCTTTAAGATGAGAATTTGGATCTGAAAGTAGTTGGTTACATCTGTTTTCTTTGATACTCATTTGGGGGGGAGGGAAAATTACTTAATATATTTGTCTTGAAACCATTATCCAATTATTATGATCTTGAATGTTCATTTGAGCATGATGGATCTTAGAATTTGTTTCGGTCAGTAGATATTATGTTCTTAGCAAGCTCAATGTACATGTTTTTAGTATTATCTTAAACAAATTCTTTTACAAAATGCACTTAAGACAGATGCTTATCTTAAATAAATTATTTTACATTCTTCAATGTACTATATTTTAAAAGTTAATTGTCCTTGGCAAAATTAAATTGTGCCAAAATCTCAGAATCATGTTGCTTCAGTTATATTTGCTAAAAACTGTCAAGTGTTTTCAATAGAAGTATTATAGGCATTGAAATAATATTGGCAGTAGTGGAATAGGCATTGAAAGTGTTTTTCAGTAGATGTAACCCTATCAGTGCCTATTCCAGGGTATTAACCCCTTCGAGCCGGGTAGCGAAAACGCACGCTTATCGCGGAGGCCGGCAGTGTTGTCTTGCGCGAGCGTCTCTCCAGGGCTGGGGGCTTTTTTGCTACTAAGCCTAAATCCATGAAATTTCCGAAGTATAAACGTATTGTTTAATAATGCTCTATAGAGTATTTAAACGGCTTATGCTTTATAGATATTAATATATATACTTTAATTACCCTTATTTCTTGTTTAAATGCATATTTTACACATTTTATTTTATTATTCACCATTTTATGACTTTTTAACATTATACATCTGAAAACTAAATATATTACTTAAAATTCTCTTTTTGTATGAAAAATTTGAAAAAAGGGATCTACACACAACAGTCCTACGTTACATTCCTTGCACTCGTAATAACTCATTTTGCCGTTTTGGAGGATTTTTCCGGGAGTGAACAAACGAAGCATGTCGTTATTCTTATCAGTCTCTTCTGAACAAAGTTTTGGAAAACGTCTTTCAGAATAATATCAGATATCAGAATTTCAGAGAATCAATATCTGAATATATTTGCATCATTTCGCTATTTCATGCTCTGTTAAATATTTTCGATGCTTCGACATTGCAACGGTAAAAACAAAGAATTCACGTCTAACAATATCTAATTATTTTCTAAAACTGAACTGGTAAACCGAAATACTCAACGCTTTAGCACATATAAATCTTCTACTTACAATAAACACTAGCACGTCGAATAAAGTGCAATTTAAGAGACGTCATAAATCACGCCTTCGGAAACATTTATTTCCCCGTTGTTTATATATCCAAAACACGTGTATGTGAGTTCATGCTTCTCTCATTTCGAGTAGAAGGTCTAATGTACATGTATCTGAAACCATATGGACATACAGTGCCGTCTTGTGGCAGAAATTATAGTTGGAAAAACGTTCCAGGGTACTGGCACAAATACGTGACAGTCGGTTTTAAACGGAAAAATGCTCTGGCATGCCTGCATGTCGGCCAGTAGGTAAGTGTGTTCGTTGTTGGCATGTATACATGACAATCGGCACGAAGGGGTTAAAGACATGGCTTCATTGTCATAAAATTGTTTTGAAGATGATTAATAATTTAATAATTCACATTTATCGATATAATATTTCTGTATTGTTTCACTTCCTTTTGTTTTTCCTTGTAGTTCTTAGATATAATAAATTACTTGAGCAAATTTGCTGACTTTTTAATTAATCTGAGAACATAAAATTACAAATGCATTCAATTTGCATGTCTCATTGGAAGTATTTGCTGAACATCTTCTTTGACTCTGTTCCCCTGTTTTTTAACAGTCATATATTTAATGTTAGGCAGTGACCAAAAATTTGTTAAAATTTTATATATTTATGGTACTTGCACCATATTTAATTAATAATTAAAACTCACCATGTAATATAGAACCAAAATGATTAGACATCTCAAGGCAATGATGTATGTTAACAAAACACCCTACTTGCATGTACTGGATAATATTGCAAATAGAGATTGGTGGTCATGTTTTTAGAATATCTGAAAGGTACTTTTATAAGTTCTATGGACTTGAAAATAAAAAAATGAACCACTCTATGATATGGATCGATATGCGAAGGATCAGCTTACATTTAGTTGATTCTTTAAAGATGTGTGACTGTAATTTTTCTGTTAGCTAATGTCTCCTCAAACATATATATATTAAATTATTATTATTGATAATCTCCAAGGAAATAAGGTTAAAATACTAACATAATGGGAGACTTTTAAGAATTAAAAATTAGTAAATGGTATGAAATTGTGGAAAGCTAAATGTGGAAATTCTATGAAATTTAATTATCAAAACCCAAATATTAAAAATAGAATAAAAATAGAAAACCCTAAAATACAATGTTAATTAGTACCGATGTCATTGAAAGATTCTAAATTTTCAAGGAGAATTAATCTCTTCCAATAAAATCACCAATATATATAAATATATTCCAAAAATCTTGAGTATTTTAAATTTTCCAAATATGACTTTATTACCTACTTGCTTCTTAATGCTCCCTTCTAGTGTGATATGCAACATTGAAAAACAGTGGTCTATTTCAGGTTTTTACTTTTTTTGACAATATAGCATAAGTGAAGCTTAAAGGGTTTGTTGTTAATACGACAAAATTTTTCTTCTGCCTAATATACATATGAAATGGCATGTTACCTTTATTTCAAAATGTTTGGATTAGTCAATCTGTTTATTTAATATATGCAATGTAGTAAACAAACTGCTACTGATTCTCCCCCCCCCTTGTAACATGAACATAAAATGTGGCAGCTATTTAGCTGAATGTAAGTTGGCATGTGTATATTTCTTAATATCATAGCAAAATTTGTTTGGCAGATATTTTGAAATTGCTTCATAAATAAAATGCAAAAATCCTTTGTTTAATATTATATGTAATAATATGTTGTAGTTTAAGCATATTTTATATTTTTGAAATTACAAAAATTTATTCATTTCTTTCATAATTGATCTTTTGACTAGAGGTTACATCTAATTGTAATAAAATATTTTAAACTAACAGTAAAAATAGTAAAATATTCTGATAATGCATTTAAAATGCTTGAAATAATTGAATTGTTTGTATCACCTATTTTCTTCAAATATATTTAAATTTTAATATTATGTTTTTAAATGCAATATTTTTTTCACGTTAATATATAAATAAGTACATGTTTGTTATTTAATTTGAAGGTGATGTTGTAAAGCTACAAACAGTTTTAAAATCAGCTCAGCGTAATATTCATAGTTCCACACAATTGTTCAAACTTGCCCAAGATGCTTTTCGCATAGCTGTTCCCCCTGATGGAGGTGGAAGACATTCTACATTGTTAGATGCTGCTTTTCAATTAGGATTACAGGTAATTTAAAATTCTTTATTGAGGGGTGATTGTGGTCTAGATATAACTGGAATCCCCTATATTTTACTTTCTGAAATCAGGAATTCTAGACTTACGAAATGTTGGTCGGTTTGTCATCTTTAATTTGTCTTGGATAAAATGTATCATTCAGAGATTACATGAATTGGAAACTCTTAGACTATGTAAACACAGAAACAGCAGAGAAAATTAGATAATTGTACAGAAACAACTTGTACTGTAATCTTTTGGGATGAAAAAAGATGGAAAACAGAAATACTCATTTACAGAACTGATTAAATCCATTTTAACTTGTTTCCATAGACTTATTGTTGAAAGTTCGTTTAATTATATGGCTAATATGATAGAATGTAGAACATGCTTCAACTGTGATAGCCTACTTGTGGAGACTATAAAATATTATTTATTTTCATTACACAAAATTACAGGTGAAACCTTTTGGGCATAAAAGTCCTATGAAGACCCTAGTGGTAAAGATTGTAGGGATAACTTACGGAATATCTGGACAGCGAAGAAAATTCTTCTGGATCATTCTGTTCATTCTAGCATTTCCATATCTTCAACTCTTCCTGATATGCATATTTTAAGTTTTACCTAACAATTGAAATTGTCTGCATCAAAATGTCTTGCTGATTGTATTAAACCTTTAAATTTTTAGCAAAGAAATATATAAATGCAGCAATCTTCCCCCCTTCCCAAAGTAAAAAAATTGCAAAATTAAAAAGTTTAAATTTTGCAATTATTTCCAAAAATTTTGAGAAACTAACAAAAGAGCAGGTTTTTGTAGGAAATGATGTAGTAAAGTAAATTAATTTTCTATAAATTAAAAAAATATATGTATTTTTTGCTTTTCTAGTCAAATTGTTTGAAAATATTTATGTATAATTTTATGTATATGTATCATATTAATACAGTCAAAAGTCGTTAATTCGGACACCCATAATCCGGAATGATCTATAATCCGGACCTCAAAGCTACAAACTTTCTGCGCATGCGTCGCCTTCACGCATGCGCACAGGCGTTTACGAGAGCGCGTAAGACCCTTACGGCTGCGAATATGTTTGTGCGCATGCGCGTTTAATGTGTAACGGAGTTATACGCTAAGCTAAAGTTATCTAATTCAGTTAATGTTGCAGATTGCATTGTTCCTTAATCTTCGAATTGGATCCGGCTTATTATTTTTTGCAGACTGTTAGAGCAATTTTATAAAAGTAAGCTTGAACTTTCGATTATGTCAAATAGAATTTCCGATATATATTTACTACAAAGCGAAAGTATGTTTTGAAATCGAAATCTGTTTATCAATTTCATGCTGCTCTGCGGCAGAGGGGAGGGCAGAAACGTCATTATTAGATTATGATAGATTAGAAAGATTATGTCAAATAGAATTTCCGATATATATTTACTAATATGTAATTTGTATCTACAAAGCGAAAGTATGTTTTGATATCCGAAATCTGTTTATCAATTTCACGTTGCGGATTGGAAGTCGATCTGTCAGCACTATCCTTATCTTCAGGGCAGATGTTTTTATTTTATTTGGTTTATAATTCCGTTTATATTTTCCGTAGTATTCGATGTACTCAGTCTTTGATATGATATTAATCAAGTTCCTGGTCATTATAATTCGCTTCCGATAGGGAAGAAAGTGACCCAAAGGTTATTGAAAACGAAAACATTTCGATTGACAAATTAGTTGGTATTCTCAACACAGCAATTATAGGACTTGAACAGCGGAACTTTGTAACTGAACAAGAAATTATGTCTGTTTAATAGAATTAAAGAGAAAGTATTATCACATGAAACGAAGCAACTTACATTGAAGGAAATGTTTAATAAAGTAAACAAATAAATATTAAGCTTTTTCTTTTTGTAAATTTTGATACCCTTTAGATCATAATTGTTCTTTGTTTCATAAATTATGGTTTCATATTTTTAATTTTGTAATTTCTGCATGCCATCTTACCAGATTTAAACTGATGATCTATAATCCGAAAAATCGATAATCCGGAATCGCCGAAGTCCCGACGAGTCCGGATTAACGACTTTTGTCTGTATTCTCATTTATTTGAAACCTTGCTGGATTTTTATTCTGCAGTAATTTTCAGGATTTCTGAAATGGGATCACAATCACACCTGTTTAATCAATCTTATATGATTATATTGCTGAAAATTAGAAAAGCAGATACTGAAATTGTTTAACTGCTGCTTAAAAATCCTTACATTTTATTTAGCGTAGAGAATTAATTTTATGTTGTATCGAAACTTAAGTAGTTTTATTCACACTGAATTTTAATATTAATTTAAATTGTAATTAAAAATATTTTGAAATTGAGGTGAAGTTGCTTAACCTGAAAATATGAAATTCCAAAAGAAGAAGCTTTTTACATTTGCTTAATAAATAGAGATGTGTAATTTTTACATTAAAAAATTGAAACTTTTTTTAAAAATCAGAAAAGAAAATTTCATATTTATTCATCAAATAAATAAATAAAAATACATGATTAATTAATATAATACATTAATATTAATCATTTAATATAATTGCAATAGTTCTGTAATCAACGAAACTATTGCAATTATATTAATCATATAGTTCAGCATCTGTAGTACAGAGTTGCTGATGTTTAAATATTTTATCACACGTTTCTCATCTCTAATTTTATGCTTTGATATTTTTATGAAATGGTATCAATGATTAAATTTTTATTCAGTATTAAAAATTCAGTATTATTATTCTTACTTTTATATTCTTCATGATAATATATTATATCTGTACAATGGGGTTATGGTAAAAAAAATATATTGAATCATTTGTATATCTTGAAATATTATTAGTCATCTTAGAGTCTTGAAAGAAAAGGCAATAAACATAGCAGATTTAAATTTTCCAGTTACTTTATTAATGACCTTTTCTGATATCTTTTGAACTTAGATATTTTTAATTGCATTCTTGGCTTCTGTATGTGATGTCACTGAATTTTCCTTATTTTGTTCAAGGATACTGTTCATCAGCTTTTATGTGGTAAAATATTCTATTTTCTAATGTTACTTTAATCTTTTATAAAGTAGATAGTCATTCATGTTAACTGATGACCTAATAAATCGGAATCTGCTCTATGTAACAAGATAAAATATTACATATTGCAGATTCTGACTGGTTAAATATTTATTAATCAGTAAAACAGACTGAAAAAGCTGTGTATATTTAAACTGAATTTTTTTTTTAAACTTTGTGGTATTTTGAGATTTTGGAATTATTTAAAAATTGGCGTACATATGTAGTGGACTTTCGTTAATTCAAACTCTTAGTAATTATCATAATTATTCAAAATATCAAAAATATTCTAGAAATAACATTTTCTTTACTCAGTGTTTCAGAACTCGGCTGTTATTATAATTAATCAAAATTCCCATTGATATGATATTGAATTATTTCAAGTTTCCTGTAGTTATAATTCTTTTAATAAAATTTGCTATTTTTATCTCAGGTTATGCGAATGACATTATCATCATTGAACTGGAAGAGGAGAGAAATGGTTAGATGGTTAGTAACATGTGCTACAGAGTTAGGTTTGGAAGCAGTGATATCAATAATTCAAAATTGGTATCAATTATTCACTCCAACTGAAGCTACAGGTATGTTCTGTCTATAGATTTTGCTACACCAAATTTCAAAGTAAATTAAACCCTAAATTTAGGGTTCTTGATTTACAAGAAGTGTTTTTAAAGTCTTATTTTAAGAGTAAATTACTGAGATAATCATGTATTAGAAATTTTCTTGATTAATTTAGAATAATTAATGTGCTTTTCTAGAATTTCATCTTTCATTAATAGTCCATTTTCAAGTCATTTTTGAATGACAAGTCATTTTTGAATTTGCAAATTCTTAGTCATAGGACAGTTTCTTAAATATATCCATGCATTGTTGTACCTTTGGCTGGAATTACAAAGTGCTGGACACTTTTTTTGAGAGGCAGGTTTAAATATTTATATATATAATATATATATATATATATATATATATATATATATATATATATATATAAAATCAGTATGATAGCCTTGCTTTAAGGCTCTCCCCCTTCTTTTTAATGGAATTAAATTTAATTCATGTTATGAAGGACATGATATGAAATAATGTTTTTTTCTTAATCATTAAAAATGATTGTTCTGCAGGATTCCATTTAAAGTTAAAAATTTGAAACTTTGCATTTTTTGACTATTTTATCCATAAAATTAGTGCATAATCTCTGCTTAATTTTATGATTTGTTTATGAAAGAGTTATTTATTTTCTTAAGAATATTAAATCACTGTCTTTGAATTTTGCTGGTGGTGGTATTCCCCCTCCCCAATAAAATATTTTGATATATTTTTAAGAAATAGTTCTTTTATCCCTGCAAAATACTTCCCCCTCATTTATCCCTTTTCTCTTTTCCCCGTTTTTCTCTTATACTGATATAATTTTTTTGATATATACAGTGTGCTGTCGATTTTGGTTTGCAGATTATCCTTGCGTAAACACTTACTCATGCAATCACACTCTACACTCTGTGCAGGAGTATGTAAAAACTAACAGTCAGTCTAGTGACAGCTAAATTTTTACCATGAAATGCTACCAATGTTATTCAGAAGATAGGCCAAGGTAATATCATCAGTAAAATGACTTATTATTCTGGTCATCTCACAACTCTTGCTGAGGAAGGACGGAGATTTATGTAGTTCTGGAAAGGTTTCAGTGGATTACATGCCATTATATGGAGTAGCAAAAGCTTTGCCAAAATCTGCATTTTTCTATTATCCATGATCTGCTTCTCTGGCATTATCCTGAATAATTGAGAGTATGCTGTAATTGTATTTTTTTATAATTGTATAGTTTTTTATTCTTCAAATATCGGTTAATTCGTAATGAATGTGTATTTTGGGAGTTACCCATATGCTGTCCAAATTAAAATTTTTTAAGAACATGAGAAAGATTTTATATAGAAATTCATATATATAAAAGGCATGATTTATAACCTTATAACTCTTAGTTTTAAGATGTCTTTATTATGAGGTTCTTTTACATGTGTGTATATATATGTAAATAAAAAATATTTAAATGAAGATTCTGATTTGCAATTGTCCCTTAACTCTTCTTTTTAATTTGGTTATTTCCCCTATCCATCCAAAAAATAATAACTGCTTATAATAAATCTCTCAAAACTGCATAATTTCAAAATTACTTGCAAAGGTAGTAAGGCAAAATATATACAATGCTAAAATAGGCACCAAGACAGAATATTTACAAAATAAGAACAGTGCTTCATGAGTAGCTGTAAAAGGCACTGCCAGTTGATGTTGATTACTTAGCCTTTGTGGTGTATTTTAAGCCATTTTGTAGCCATTGTTATTGACTCTGCTTTGAATGAATAATATATCATTTGAAATTAATTATTTAATGAAACTTAATATCATTATCTCCTGTTTAATAAATAGAAATTTGAAAATTTTTTAAATAGTTGCATTTTTAAAAATTAGTAAATTTTTTATCATGTCATAATTCACAAACTATTAATATACATACAAAATTAGATAAAATAAAATAGAAGTTCCCCCTTTTTTTCCCCTTTTACTTAATTCTGTGCAAAAGAAAAACCATCGAAATCTAGTTACTAATATCTTATCTTTATTTGTAAAATTTGTACTTGATTATATTTAAATAAAAATAATTTTAATATCTGAAATAATTAATATAAATTATTCGCTTAATATGTATTTTTAAATTTAACTAATTTTAGACCTAAAATGTTATTAATAAAAACATTATGCATTTTCCATTTAGGTATCATTCCTATTAGCAATTGAGTGTCTTGATAACATAGGAAATGGGTATTTAATGATACATGACTATTTAATTAACATGGGTTTAGGTGTTAATGTATATTAAGGATCATAGAGACATTTCTATGAAAAGTTTAGCATGTTGGTTAGAAAATATTCAAAAATTAGCTGTATTTATTAATTTTTTTCCCCAGAAGTAATTACAGGATTCTATAAAACTATATGAACTTTTTCTTTATCCCGTTTAAATTTCCTGTCTTTAATGTTAAAAGATGGTACTTAGCAGATTTTTAAATTTATTATCTGTTGAAATTTTCAGGCCCTGTTGCAACTACTGTTATGTCTCATGCTACAGTAATGCGTCTGAATTTGGACTTTCGGCAGCAGGAAGAATTATCCAGTTGTGCTCGTACTTTAGCTCTTCAGTGTGCCACTAAAGACCCTCCTAACTGTGCTTTGAATGCTTTAACCTTGTGTGAAAGTGAACCGTTTGCTTTCGAAGCTGCATACCAGATAGTGGTAGACGCAGCAACAACAAATGTAATGACTTCTTCCCAACTTTTTACTGTAGCTCGTTACATGGAACACCGTGGCTATCCCCATCGGGCTTATAAACTTGCTGTATTAGCCATGAAGGGTGTTCACCTCGCCTACAACCAGGACAATCACCCTGCCATAAATGACATCCACTGGGCTTGTGCTCTTGCCCATTCATTGGGAAAATCTGAGCTGACAAATCTTGTACCACTTCTTGTGAAAAACGTGCAATGTGCCACTGTGCTTTCTGATATACTTAGACGTTGTTCAATGGCTGCGCCAGGTATTGCCACCTTGGACGCTAAGCGACGCTGTATCAAACCTCTATCTCTGGACAAACCTCCTTTGCGTCAGCTTCTGGAGGCTGCCATATCAGCATATGTGAATACAACTCACTCCCGTCTGACGCACATAAGTCCGCGCCACTATGGTGACTTTATAGAGTTCCTGGGAAAAGCGAGAGAGACGTTCCTATTGGCGCAAGATGGCCACATTCAGTTTGCGCAATTAGTTGACAATATGAAGTCGGCATATAAAGGAAAGAAAAAGCTCATGCTACTAGTCAAGGAAAGGTTTGGCTAGCTAAATATATTAAACATTTCAGCAGCCTTGTGTTTTTCTTTTTCCCCTTTTTTGTACTACAAACTTCATTCGGGTCAATTATATTACCCGCAAAGCTGTGATTTGCTGTTTCTGTGGACAGAGAGGGCTACCTGATTTTTGGGTTTAGCCTATCTAATGTATTGTTCCAGGTGAGCAATAGGAAATCGCCTTTTGTCAGTTACTATATAAACAGATTCTGCAGGACAGAATAGAAGCTGTTATACATATAAAGTGAATAGATAATTATGACAAAAGAAATAAGGTAACATTTACTGGAATATTTAAATATCAGGTTGTGTTATATTACTTTATAACATTTCTCATATTTCTGAATTCTTTTCCTTATTTTTTTTTAATTCAGGAATGGCTAAATATCTTTAGACAGAATGGGACTTCCATTACAGAAATATGGAGGGGAACAAAAAAAGAATTAGTTAAAAATGTGATAAGAATTTTATATAAATTCATGTGTGTGTGGTAAATGTAAAACAAAAATACAAATTTTTTGATTTGATGAGATTTTATATTGAGTTCTTTTATTTGAGAAATGTATAAATAAATAAATAAACAAGTTTTTATTGTATTCTAATATTATAAGAAAGAGAAGGAAGCTATTAAATTACTGTATGTGTGTGTATGTGCTAAATGTAAAAGAAAAATTTCCTTATTATTATTATTATTTTTTTTTTTAATTTGACGCAGAATTTTGATGATTTGTATAATAAACATTGGCTTTTGAAACTGCATACCATCTAGTAGTGGAGCTGCAGCAATAGCAAATGTAAAAACTTCTCAACTTTTTACAACAATTCGTTACATGGGAACGGGGAAATTTTTTTGTAATATTCTAGGAAAGGAAGAAAACTCTTTTATGATGTATGTGTGTGTATTAAATATAAAAGAATTTATAAGAATATATTATTTTTTAAAGAAACTTATAAATAAATACAGGAACAAATATATATTGGATATTCTAAAAAAAGAAAGGAAACTGTTAGCGAGTTTATAAGGGAAGGCCAAATTCTGAAAAATCTATATGTAATTTTAATTTCTATATCTTAAGTTGTGGTTAACCTCTTTTTATTCAGAGTTATTTATTACATAAACTTCAAAATAAACTGAATTAAAAAAAGTCTAACTCTTTGTGAGTAATAAAATATATTCCTGTAAATGTTGCCTTATTATGTATAACAACTTGATTGGTTTAGAAGTCTTCTGCAGACTTACTTCTCAGTGTATTTGAAAGCAAAGCAAAAGGTATGAAAAAGATAACTTAAAAGCCTTGAAATTAATTTTTCAAAATATATTTTACTCTGTTACCAGAGTTATCTTTTGAGAAGGTTTTTGTTGCATGCAAAATGCTAATTTCTACCTCACTAATATTTTCTTTTGTACAAAATACATTTTAAGTTTGTGGCCAATTCTTCAGTCAACAGTGGCAAAGAACACAAGAAACACCTATGCAAAAATGTACTTGTTGACACATTTCATACAAATATTCTTGTTCTGATGTATGTTACTTGACCATTGATGTGAATAGTTATTTTTATTAACATTGTGCTGATTTTATATTTATTTTCAAAATATTTCTCACATACTCCATTTATGCTAAAGTTTTATGTACTACTTAAAAATTTATGGTTATATTTTTGTTGAATTATTTGACTTTGAATATAAAAATATTTAGTGAGGCAAATTTGTTTGTAAACTAATTATGTATTTCTGTACATGAAATGGATTTGTGATTCAGTTTTTGTATGTATTAAAATGAGCTTCTAAAATGTGTCAAATTGAAGTTCTAAATATGCATTTTCAAATAGTAAATTTGGAATTGAAATTTGCCACATTTTTTTGTCTATATTATGTTCAGTTTATATACTGAATTGCATTTATTGTTATGTATAATAATATGAATTGCTTTGTAAATCAGTTTAAATTTATCATTGTTAAAACACTTTTTTCCAATATTAATTATAATAAAATAAAATTAAAAAAATTCTGAATTTCTGACACCAATGGTATATTAATTTATTAATTTTTAAAATTTTTATTTTATTAAATGCTCATAACATACAGTTGAACAAAAATTACAAAATTATTATAATCCAACTGAAATATATTTGTATGAGGTATGTAAACTTGTACTTTAGAACATAAATCATGTAGTTTTGCAATCAGACTATGTTTGTATATTTTTTGTAAATGTTTGTGTATTTGTAAATAGAAGCTTGTGTATTTGCATTAGGACCAAGCATAATAATGCCGTTTTAAAATTTGTATAAACACATTAATATTTTCACAAATTCTACTGACAGATGTGTTGTTTTGTTGCCTAAAAATGTTGCATTTGATTTCATATTTACTGGTAGAGAATTAAAGATTTTCCTTTTAAGAATGCACTGTTTAAAATATATCACTTGGAATTTATTTACCAATAAGATGTTTAAGTTTTAACTATATTTAGTTTAAATATGGTCAGTATTTTATTTTTCCTGAAAAGAAAGGGTACTGATAAATAACTATATAATATTTGTCTTTTGGTTAAGCTATGTAATATTTTTATTGATTTTCAAGTAGTCTGTAATGAAAAGAATTAATACTTAAAAAATTTTAAAGTATCCATGTAGCCACTGAGGCATATAATAAAAGTATTCAAATCTAGTTAAGTATGTGTGTAAAAGCACATTTTTATTAAATATAAAAATTAAGAAATTTTCAATATTGTTAATATTTTTGCATTGCAAGATTTAATATGGCAAACTTTAAATAAAGTGCCATATCTTAAATTCCAAAATTTCTATAATATGTGTTTAGATACAAACAAATGAAATTTCAGCTTTTCAGAAAATTTGGTATGATAAGTTTCTGGGCATTTTTTTAAAAATATTTATGTGTAAATAATCTATTTAACAAAAATCCATATATTTATTATATTTTGATTGAAGAAATGAAAGGTATTTTATTATTATTTATGCTATTATCTGCACATGATTCAGTGCTTCTTTACAAATCATGAATTTCTGCCAATTTTTCATTTTAGATAAATCTTTATTTTTGGGTATTTACATAGTCATTTTTTAAAATTCATTTTGAGGTTATGTAATTAACACATGCAAAGAATTAATTTGTCCTCAGCTTTTCAGACAGTGAGATCGTACCCAAAATGCAATCCTGATTTCTTTACATTTCATGCAATAAGAAGGCTTGTTTACGTAGACAAAGTATGGAACCTTAAGATGACATTCATTAGAATTTTTTTTCTTTTTTCCCACCTCCTTCTTTTCTATTTCCTTTCTCCCTTCTTTTCATCATCATCATCATCATCTTCTTCTTCTTTTTTTTTTAATGTTAGAAAGAAGAAAATAATAAGAAAAGGAAGCTACAGAGCAGAGAATTTTCATAAATCCATAGGTTCTGTTCTAGCCCCCCTTTTTTTAACTGCTAATAGTATTACTAATCCAATTACACATGTGCAGAATGTAATGAGAGAATTAGTGCAGCGACTTAATTTAGGGAAAACCTGATTGCTGGGATGTCTGTAAGCAGTATATTTATTTGATATGTATCTTTTCTTTCTGTCAAAAGTATAACAGTTATTGTGAAAATAACTTTACTAGCTGGATATGCATATTTTTTAATCATAAGATAATTTGACACATTTTTTACAAAAGAATTTCTGCTTCCTGAAAAAATTTCTTGTCACTTATCCTTTTTCATTCCACTATGTCTTTACTTTACCCTGATATTATTTTTTTGTATATATTTAAAAAATATAATAGCTCTGTATTTAATAAATACTGCTGAAATAACATTGAAGGTAGGGATATACAGGGCTGGCCATCCAAATTGCAACATAGACTTCTGTGAAGTGTGGTTCCTTCCAGAATCAGTAGCCAGAGTAACTGCCATTGTTGGAGATCACCACTGCCACACGCCTCGCATTGATTCAAAGAGACTTTGGATGTGTTCTTGGAGTACAGCAGACCAAGCAGCTTCCACACTTTGCCAAAATTGATCTGGTGTGGCAGCTTGAGATGTAATCTGGGTCAATTGTTCAGCAACAATGGACCACATGTTTTCTATCGGATCCAGAGAGCGAGCGGGCCAGGGAAGCAGTTAAATCTGGCGATTGACAAAGAACCCTTGAACAATGCGTGCCACATGTGGTCATGCATTATCCTGTTGAAATATGGCTGTGGGCAAGTCCTGAAGGTAAGGAAGGACAGCTGGCTCCAACACCTCGGAGATGTAGCGCTGGCTGTTTAAAGTACCGGCAATGCATATTAGAGGACTGCGAGAGTGATATCCAATACCGCCCCATACCATAATACTCGGTGCAGGACCAGTGTGGCTTGATACTTAATGTTAAGAAAGATCTTGTACTTAATGTTAAGAAAAGAGAACCTTTGTATTAAATTATAACTTTGTAAAATTAGAAACTGTCAAAGAAACTATTATTATTGATATTGTATATAAGGCCACTGGAAACTAGTGTCCTAGTGGTTAAGTCAATAGTGATCCTTCTGCATGGAACAGTGATCTTTAATCAGTAGTAGATTGGATTTTAGGGGTTCCCTATTTCTTGGGAACTTTTGTTTATCCCTTCAGTTAAGATTGCCTTAAATGTCAGTCTTCAGTTAATGTTTGGGGGTTGGTTTTAATTGTTGTTGTGAGTTTTGTCTTGTGAGATTGTGTCATTGAGTTTGCGGTGTTTGTTGGCTTAAGCCCCACAGTTTAAGAATAGATTTTGGTGTGTTTCACATCCTATTCGATAAAGAAAATTGAATCTTGGATTTACCACCTTGGTTGTGCTTGTTCTTTATGTTGCATGAAAGGTTCTGTGTTGTTTTATTACTTTTGCTGTTTACTAACATTGTGAATTTATTATTTTCCTCGGTTCAGTTAAATGTGTGCTTGGAGTTGGATTTTAAGCTGGGAACCATTAGTCTTGTAATCTTTTGTTTGTTCTGTTTTCGTTATATAACCTTTTTAGTTGCCCAGAGCTTGGGCTTGGTTTCCCGGAGCTAAGATTAAACTTATGGATTATTCTAAAAATTTAGAAGAGAAAATAATAAGTGTTTTATATGATAGGATTTGAACACGGCCGGCTCATTGGCTCCGCCCTTTGTTGGTTAGCTGGGCTTGTCTCCCTAAGGTCATAAGATCGACTTCGTTGATCAGGGGGACCGGGGGCTGCACCCGTTTTAGTACCACCCCATACCATAATACCCGGTGCAGGACCAGTGTGGCGGTGCATAACGCAGCTGTTCAGCATCCTCTCTCTCCAGACTCGAATCCGACCATTGTGGTGTTGCAGGCAGAAGCGTGACTCAACAGTAAAGACAATTCATTCCATTCTGCCGTCCGCATCCTTCTTTCATCGCACCATTGGCGGTGGAGACGTCTGTGGTTCTGCGTCAATGGTAGACAAAGCAGTGGACGTCTTGCGGACAGAACACTCTGCTGTAAATGGTGTCTGGTATGCGCAGACACTGGATGATCTGTTACAGACTGAATATGCTGTGCTATGGTTCGTGATGTGACTGAGCGGTCCGTCACTGTCATGCGTACAATGCTCCTGTCATCACGTGAAGTGGAGCACTGAGGTGGATTCGATCGAACACGTCAGTCCGTCGTACCCTCCTGCATCTAATGGTCATATATCCAAATTACAGTTGTTTGTCCAACATCACTACCGATTTCCCTGAAAGATAATCCAAACTCTCGGTAGGCCACTATCCTTCCTCTCTTGAACTCGGATACCTGATCAAACGATGATCGCTGTTTACTAAGAGGCATAATTGATCGTTTTTTTTTTTTTTTTTAAACCACAAGAAAACATCAATTGGTTGAACTTGAAAAATCAGTTGTCAAAAACTCCAAGCCTTAAATAGCGCTTTGAAGTGGCATCACAGGCGCGCTTGATGTGCTGAAATTCTAATCATTTGCATATCTCACCTCTGCTAATGCATGTTGTAAATTTCATGTTATTTGCATGCTTTGTTCAGGGTGTTGGATTTACGGTCGCCAGCAGTGTACTTTGGTTAATTGTCTATATGCAAACAGTCCAAATTTAATGCCGGCCGAGCGGTAAAGTCGCTGAACACTGGTAGTTCGGTCCGAGGTTCAAATCCCGCGAACGGGCTGGCTGCATGGGTGTTTTCGTGGTTTTCCCCATGTGTAACGTGCATACGAGCCAGTTTCCCTTAGAAAGTCCTCCACGAAAGGCATCCCTCCCCTTTGGCAGATAGCCCTAGTGTGCTTTGCCGTAGTTAAATACACCACACCACACCACACCACCAAATTTAATGCAACAATTAGGATTTGGGTTATTTTGATTATTGCAAAGAACTCAAGAGCTATCTGACTAAGGGGTTTTCATGGAGGATATTTTAAGGGAAGCCAGCTTGTTTTCATGTTGCAGATGAGGAAAACCACAAAACTCTATGCAGCTGGCCCATTCACTGAGATCTGAACTGTGGCTGAACACCAGTTTTCAACAGTTTTGTGTAAGAGTTGAGAAGACATGACCTGATAATCTGCAAAATTCTGTACTCTGACTGTCACCAATACAGCCTTAATTGACGTTCTTGAAAAGAATTTAACTTGTCTAATTGGGTTGTTAGCAAGAAAACTATGACAAACTATGACTAAGAAATGATGGGGATCTTATCACTTCCATGCTAATTTTACTCATCTGCTCTATGTCATAAATAAATAGATCATAACAATACATGTGGGTTTTTGCTCAGGTTTGCATCTTATGTGGTCA